GCTCTTCCCAGCGCCGCCATCGCCACGCGATCACATTTTGCTTCCTTCGCTCGGCAATAAGACCCTCGACCTGAATCTACTTTAACTTGACCTTCACCGCGAGCCACGTAAAACCCCACGCGGCTGAGAAAGACTCACTTGTCACCTTAGATTCTGAATCGCGTGAGTCTGGAGATGGGATTCTCCCGAGGAAGCCCCAAGCCCTGTGGGCAAGGAGGATTTTGACTACAAGCCCACCCCACGAGAGGCACATGACCGTGACCGGGAGCTTTTCGGTACTACAGCTCTCAGCCGCCAGCGGAGCAGGACTTCCCCCTCGCACCATTTATAAACCGGCCGACTTCCCCCCGCCAAGCAGAAAAGGGAAGGTCAGAAACCAGCAGGACACAGGGACGGGGAGGGGAAAACACGCCGAAGGTGGTGGTGGTGCTCCACAAAAGAGGTCTCGGTTCCCATAGCTGTCACGCAGGAGAGCCGTCGCCGTCGGCGCGCGCGGTCCCGGTGGGAAGCAGGACTTGGTCAAACCGCGGGAGGAGAGCGCCAAACCGCACTTGATCTACAGGGGATTTTCCAAACCACTCGGATGCCAACAGCCCCGCGTGGAGGAAGGCCCTTCCCCTCCGAGAGCGCAACTCCAACTCGCGTTTCAACAGGAGGAATTGCAAAACGCTGACGTGCAACAGCCACGTCCTTCACCGCTCCTCCTGTTCAGGGTTTGAGGCCGAGCGGGACAGAGGGACTCTTCGCAGAGATCCCGGTTTGCACGCGGAGGCCACGGTCAGCGTCTGCGGTTCCGCGCGCGCCGCTCTTTTCATAGCAAAATGAAAGGCCGTCTTCCAAACCCTTACCTGTGAAGAGGGGGCTGAACACAACCGGGGAAAAGGCACTTTGAGTTCTTGTCAGTCTGTGTTTCCTGCTGGAAATAAGAAAAACACCGTTAGGAGAGGTGAGGAGACGGCGCATCCCTCCAGAAGAAAACACCATTTGACCTTCTCAAAGCAGGAGAACCTTCCCCATTCTTTACCGAAGCTCGAGAGCGTTCGACGCCGCGTGTTTACCCGACTCCGAGAGCGCTGTTTGCCCTAAGTAGGGCAGTCAACCAGTAAAGCTAGGTCTGCGTCCTGCCACGGAGCAAATCTCTACCTAGGTAATTAATACAGTCTTTCGGAAAAAAAAAAAAAAAGAAACCCCAAGCAAGTATGGCAACCGGAGCCAAGAAGCTGTTTCACAACAGACGTCACGCTATTCCTCTGGATCAGGCATTGCCAAACGCCTTCGACAAACAGGTTGGGTCCCTGCGCAATTAGGGGTTGTGCCCGGAGCCAGCGCGCACCGACTGCCCTCGCGCCGCCTCGGGAGGCCGCCGTCTCCCCAAAGGCTTTCAAAACGCAGGCGTAGGGGTAGGCGAGCCGAACCCGGAGCCGCCGGGATGGCCGGGAACAGCTAAAAAACGCACTGCCGATGGAAACCCGGGAACAGCAGCACGTCCCGTGGCGCTGCTTTCCAGTTTTCTAACGACGCCGTAGCCAGCCCTGCGCTCTCCCCACACGAAACCACTCCTTCCAGCGTCTTCCCTGCAGTGCTGAAGGGCTTCACCCACATCCAGGCAGCGAAAACGCTGGTAAACTGAGGCACGGAGTACGGCACCCCCAGGGCTTGAATCCACGGTTGGGGCGGGTAGAGAAACGCGTCCCCGGTGCCAGAAACTCACTCCTACCTAAGAGAGGAGCACGAGAACAAAGCCGAGCACGAGCGCAGCTCTCGTGCGCCGCAGCTTTGACAAAGGTCTTTCTTACCTCCAGAGCACGCCGTGCAGCGCTCATCCCAGCACCGGGCACTCCGTATCACTCTGCAGGTCTGTACCGGGGCAGACAAGGTGACTCCAAGTTAAATAGCGCAACTTCACCGCGCCGGCCGGAGAAACTGGTCCCAGCGCATCCAGGCGAGAGACTGCACCACCACGATCTACGGGAGCTCAGAGAGCAGCTCTACTCGCCACCCAGAAGACCACCCCACCGCAAGCAGGTCATTACGGGGCTGACACCGTTCCTCCTGGACATCCTCCTCACTCTCCAACCTCCTCCCAGCAAGCGGTTGACCCTGAACCTTAAGCCGGACTGGTGCTGCTGACCCCCAGCTCTGCCCGCAGCCTCCCATGAAACCCAGACAAAGCTTCAGGGAAAAACCAGCTCCGAGCGAGGAGAGCCGCCCAGCGGGAAGGATCGTGCCCAGCAGATGCGATCCCACCGCCCTCCAGGGAGAAGAAACCCAAGCTCCGGCCTCAGATCGCCGCGCTCCGCAGAGCAGATGGGTGTACCCTCATCTTCCTCCTCAGCAGACCAAAGGCTTCTCTTGGTCGTGTCCAGGCGCCTCACCGGGTCACACAGCTGTGGACAAACGTTTAACACTATAAGCCCGCAAATGGAAATGCTAAGAACGCTCATCATCCCGATATCTAAAACCCCATTAAAATGTTTGGAAGGGTTTACATTTTAACGCTCTCGCACCTATTTGTGGGTTTGATTCCCCCCCTGCTTCCCGAAGGAGAACAATTCCCCGATCAGCAGCCACACGTGCGCACACGCAAAATTACACTTCTGGACTAATATCAACTAACTTCATAATAGAGTAACAGCTCCGTTCCCACCCACTAAGCCAGACGGAAAGGAGCGTTGCTGGCGTCTTGCTGTTACCAAAACAGCTACGTTTTATGCCAACATTTTACAGCCATCGATTTCTGAGATTTCTCATTTCCAACGAGCTCACACCAGCGGCAGGCAGAGAGCAGGAAACGATTCACATGGACTGAATCCTCCACTTCCCAACTCCGTCTCCACCAAAACAATGTACTTCCATTCTTCCCGGCACTGGCACAGGTTGCCCAGAGAGGTTGTTGAGGCCCCATCCCTGGAGGTGTTGAAGGCCAGGCTGGAGGTGGCCATGGGCAACCTGGGCTGGGGGGAGGTGTCCCTGCCCAGGGCAGGGGGTTGGAACTCGATGATCTTCAAGGTCCCTTCCAACCTAAACCATTCTATGATTCCTCCTCCTGCCCTCAAGTTCCACAGCATCCAAACGATGCTGAAACAATCCCTGGAGAAGAACTTACGTGTGACCGGTACCTGAACGCTGCTGGGTCGGATCAACGCAGCAGAGCTGGAGAAAGCCAAAAGTGGATATCGCCATCCAGGAACGCCGTGGACACATTCTGCACAGATTCACGTACACCAAACTGGGAAACCACCCCTCGAGCTCCAGCAAATAAAGAATTTTTGGGCCAGTTACCCACCAGTTCTGCAATAGCTGCGGTTACCGCCTTCGCAGACGGCGCTTCCCACGGTGATGCCTTCACCCATCCCCAGGCACCGTCCTGCTAACACTAAGGCAAGTCTCCCCCGGCCACCCAGGCTGGCTCCCCGCGACTTTAGGCACGTCGTAATACAGAGACGTGTTAAAAACCCCCAAGGTCACCACTACAGCTCACTGGCCGGACCTGGGTACCAGCCTGGCAACCGCCCTGCGGCAGATACGGCTGCAGCTCCGGTGCGCCTGCACCCATCCACCTGCAGAACCGCTGCCCCTAACCCCGTCCCCCTCCCGCCAACCACCTCTGCGGCACAAACCGCTTCCAAAAAAGAGCAGTTTCGCTGATACAACCTTTAAATACCGGCAGCCGGGCTCTGGGTGAGAAGCTACACATCAGCATCTCCACCTTTAGGCCCTCAGCCTCTTGCAGCTCAGCAGAGCCCAACTATTGAGTTCAGATAACGGGGCTGGTTCCTTTCCTAAGCGCTGCCGCGGGCGGGCGGGAGGCAAAGCTGCACCGTGCCACCGCCAGGACCGGCACAGCGATGCGAAGCTTGGGCAGCAACTCCAAATACCAGGAATTCTGCTTCTTGCAGGTGTTTGAAGAAAAAGAGCCGGACTAGGTAACACCCACCGCAGACCACGGGAGCGCCCTTCACCGTCAGCCCGCAGAGAATTGCGAGGCAGGAACAAGAGGTCGAGGGAATTGATCCAAAGGTTGCCCTGAGCCCACCAAAAGTAGCTCTGAGCCACAGCCGACTGCAGCAGCGACTCACGGTGAACGCCAGATCCATCCTACGTTAATGGGGGCCGCACGCTGGGAGGCAGCAACCCCCAACTCTGAGCGGAACCGAGGAAAGGGTTTTTGGGTTTTTCCCTCCCCAGTTGAGCAACGCAGACGGGCGCAGAGCAGCCGACGGCATTCGCTGGCGTGGCACTAAGTCTAGCAAAGAGCAGGGCAGAAAATCAAGTTACTGCACTACTTATCTCTGAACCGAGGGACCAGCGCACCGAGAAAGGAGAGGGAAAGAAAAGCAGCATCTGCTGAGGCCAAACGTTTACCTCCCGGCGAGCCCAAACAGCGTCTAACCTGCTCCCGGGAGTATGGGCATCCCAGCACCCCGAATCCCTCCTCCTCCTCCTCCTCCTCGAGGAGAGCGGGGCCAGCAGGGCCCGTCCCCGCAACGCGCAGACTCCCGCCAGGAGAGACGCCGGCGCCGAGCACACCCGCATCCCACCGCCACGGGAGCTGCGCCTCCGCAGGAGCAAAAACCATCGTGTCCAAAGGATCCATCCAGCCCTCGGCGGCAGAAGGGAACTCCGGGAACTGGAAGCAGCAAAGTCGTCCCCAAACCGCAAGAGTTGCTGCATCAGGCACCTTGAAGTAACCTTTGTTAAAACATCGCCTAATTAGCACGGGGGAGTTGTACGATGCCAAAGCAGGAGTAGTGACCGTTAAACTCCCTGACCGGCCGGGTTCTCCACTCCCAACCCGCTCCGACGCCACCGCCAGCTCTGCGGCCCCCGATCCCAGCGCTGGGAGGTCCCGGGGACCCTGCAACCTCACGCGCAAGCACCTCTGCGGCACAAACCGCTTCCAAAAAAGAGCAGTTTCGCTGATACAACCTTTAAATACCGGCAGCCGGGCTCTGGGTGAGAAGCTACACATCAGCATCTCCACCTTTAGGCCCTCAGCCTCTTGCAGCTCAGCAGAGCCCAACTATTGAGTTCAGATAACGGGGCTGGTTCCTTTCCTAAGCGCTGCCGCGGGCGGGCGGGAGGCAAAGCTGCACCGTGCCACCGCCAGGACCGGCACAGCGATGCGAAGCTTGGGCAGCAACTCCAAATACCAGGAATTCTGCTTCTTGCAGGTGTTTGAAGAAAAAGAGCCGGACTAGGTAACACCCACCGCAGACCACGGGAGCGCCCTTCACCGTCAGCCCGCAGAGAATTGCGAGGCAGGAACAAGAGGTCGAGGGAATTGATCCAAAGGTTGCCCTGAGCCCACCAAAAGTAGCTCTGAGCCACAGCCGACTGCAGCAGCGACTCACGGTGAACGCCAGATCCATCCTACGTTAATGGGGGCCGCACGCTGGGAGGCAGCAACCCCCAACTCTGAGCGGAACCGAGGAAAGGGTTTTTGGGTTTTTCCCTCCCCAGTTGAGCAACGCAGACGGGCGCAGAGCAGCCGACGGCATTCGCTGGCGTGGCACTAAGTCTAGCAAAGAGCAGGGCAGAAAATCAAGTTACTGCACTACTTATCTCTGAACCGAGGGACCAGCGCACCGAGAAAGGAGAGGGAAAGAAAAGCAGCATCTGCTGAGGCCAAACGTTTACCTCCCGGCGAGCCCAAACAGCGTCTAACCTGCTCCCGGGAGTATGGGCATCCCAGCACCCCGAATCCCTCCTCCTCCTCCTCCTCCTCGAGGAGAGCGGGGCCAGCAGGGACCGTCCCCGCAACGCGCAGACTCCCGCCAGGAGAGACGCCGGCGCCGAGCACACCCGCATCCCACCGCCACGGGAGCTGCGCCTCCGCAGGAGCAAAAACCATCGTGTCCAAAGGATCCATCCAGCCCTCGGCGGCAGAAGGGAACTCCGGGAACTGGAAGCAGCAAAGTCGTCCCCAAACCGCAAGAGTTGCTGCATCAGGCACCTTGAAGTAACCTTTGTTAAAACATCGCCTAATTAGCACGGGGGAGTTGTACGATGCCAAAGCAGGAGTAGTGACCGTTAAACTCCCTGACCGGCCGGGTTCTCCACTCCCAACCCGCTCCGACACCACCGCCAGCTCTGCGCCCCCCGATCCCAGCACTGGGAGGTCCCGGGGACTCCGCACCCTCAAGCGCAAGGACCAAATAAACCGCAAGCCCATTAGGCAAAAGATTATATCATTACAAGCAACTCGGCTCGTTACCGTCTGAGGCCCATTTAATCATTTGTGGGAAGTGACGCCGTTGTCTAAATCTGCTTCCCCAACCCGCACGCAAAAGCAAAGCTCCTCGTGGGCACACGAGCTCTCGGGAGGACTCAAACACCCAGAGCGGCCGCAGGGCTGGGAGGTGACGCAGGAATTGAGGCTGCTCCATCTCAGAGCCATCCCCTGCTTCGGAGCGAGGTGTAATTTTGGCCTCCGCTACAGCCTGGCTGCCTTTCGGGCCCCCGAAGTCCCCGTCACCCCAAGCCAGCGCTGCGGGTCACACCTGACCCGAGGTCAGCATCCTCAGAGCAAGCCTGGAGAAAAGATGCCTGCTCGCCCATCAACAGGTCTTCAGCCGCACACGGAGGAGGCAACACACCCCAAAAGCCTCACGCGAGGTTAATTAACCCCGTGGGGAAAGGACCGTGCTGCAATACTCAGAGTCCATTCAATTATTTCATGCTGCTCCAGGGCCGGCTGCGTAGACCTCGGGCAGGTTCTCCCTGCCTCCTCCGCCGGGAATTTCAGTTCTGCTGCTGGAAACGCTACAGAAAGTGGTTTGTGGAGCACAGGAGGTTCACCCCGACCGGAGCCAGCGGGGACAGAGCAGCCCTTCTGCTGGAACACGAGGCTGAAGCATTGCACACAGCCGAGGAGCGCTGGCACCGATGGAGGAGGGTAGAGCAACGGGGTCCCACACCACCAGCTCCCGGGATTCAGCCCTCCAAACGCA